CAGGTTGCTCAAAGCCCCATCCAGCCTGGCCTTGAACACCTCCAGGGATGGGGCCTTAACAACCTCTCTGGGCAACCTGTTCCAGTGCCTTACCACCCTCAAAGGGAAAAATTTCTTCCTAATGTTTAACCTAAACCTGCCCTCTTCAAGTTTATAGCCATTCCCCCCTGTCCTGTCACTACATGCCCTAGTAAAAAGTCCTTCCCCAGCTCTCCTGTAGGCCCCCTTTAGGTACTGGAAGGCGGCAATAAGATCTCCCCGGAGCCTTCTCTTCTCCAGGCTGAACAGCCCCAACTCTCTCAGCCTCCCCTCATAGGAGAGGTGCTCCAGCCCTCAGATCATCCTCGTGGCTCTCCTCTGGACATGCTCCAGCAGGTCTATGTCCTTCTTATGTTGGGGACTCCAAAAAAAGAGAGTGGAGTAGAGGGGCAGAATCACCTCCTTTGACCTGCTGGCTGTGCTCCTTCTGATGCAGCCCAGGATACGGTTGGCCTTCTGGGCTGCGATTGCACATTGCTGCCTCATGCTGAGCTTCTGGTCAATCAGCACACCCAGGTCCTTCTCCTCAGGGCTGCTCTCCAGCTATTCCCTGCCAAGCCTGTATTTGTGCTTGGGATTGCCCCAACCCAGATGTAGGACCTTGCACTTGGCCTTGTTGAACTGCATGAGTTTGGCTTGGGCCCACCTCTCCAGCCTGTCTAGGTCCTTTTGGATGGCATCCCTCCCCTCCAGCGTGTCTACCTCGCCAAACATCATTCATTCTTCATTACACTGTTCTACACTCTCACAAATGATTCTCCTCTTTCGTTCCTTTCCATTTTTTTCATTCTTCCATGAATTTTAATGAGTCTTGAATTCTGCCCTTTGCTTGACTCTGAAATTCGCTCCACAAGAGCCTTAATTTCTACTGAATTGTACTGTACAAATTACAGTCTAAATTGCTGGTACTATTATTTCTTTCTTGCTCTACAAATCCTTCACCAATTTCTATCTTAAACATATTTTTCCCATCACTGCTGTGGATTTTCAGGTCTTGCCTTCTGCTTCCTCAGTCAGTTGTCTGTTGAATGCCATATTTAGATGACTTAGCAAGCCTAGCTCAATGGAATAGTTGAATTTCTTTTAGACTGTTACACTTGGTTCCTCATGTGCTGCTGATATGTTGCTACACATCATTATCTCTTAGTGACACAAAAATATATCTCAATATAACTCTGAAGGCATATTTCTTACCAGCATGTATGGTATGATCACTATGATTAAACATAAAAAATTACATTTCAATAAGAAATGCATTTGGATCTTCTCCAGATTGAATAGATGTCTTCGCTCTTTTATGGGAAAAATAGCACAAATTGTACTGTGTCATTATTTGAAGAAAACCTTTTAAAATGTCCTATGAAAACATCAACTGCTTAATTTATTCATACCTGATGATGAAACTAATCTGCTAGAAAATGGACTAAATGTATTTTAAGTTAGATGTTTGAAATATTGATCTCTTATTCTAAACATCTCATCATGCTCACAGCAAGACATCTATTGAATCTCACTAAATATCAGTTTTCCTATTGTTTTCTTCCTGAAATTGTTATATACAGTGTTTTTGAAATTTAAATATTGGATCTGGGCAATATAAAGCTATATACTGTTTGTAAAAGAAAAAGATTAGGTTTAAATGTGTATTGTTTGGCTTTCTGATCTCAAATTAGCCTATGAACTTAGAAATTTCCCAGGGTCAATAATCTTTATAAAGTAATCAGACAGGAAATTAATTCGTAGAAAGGCAACTTACAAATTGAAGTTGCCACAAAAGCAGTTATTTACATTAATGATAGGTTATGAAGTTACACAGTAAGAAAATATTTTCTTCTTTGAATAATCAGCAAATATCATAGAAATATTAATACTAATACAGTATTTGAATTTCATTTTACAATGCTCTTAATTTTTTTAATATTTCTGATTTACTGACTCTTGCTTTTTTTTAACAAATGTCAATAATGAGATTTGCCATCCAAATATTTATTAGACTTACACTACCCTCACAGCAGTAGCTACATACTAAATTTTGATTTATTAGTACTCATTGTCTTGTTTTGGTAAAATCAGTTATTTGGTGTTGCAGTAATTCTTTTTATGGGTAAAGCATTGCACTGGAAACTGGAAAAGATTCAGCGTGAGTAATAGGGATGATCAGAGGTATGGTACAACCTCCATAAAAGGAACAGAGAAGTAAGCAAGGAACCTGCGGTCTGGAAAGGAGGTGGCTGAGGGAATACGACGGAGATCTGTTCAGTCGCAAGTCGCGTGAAAAGGGTGGATAGGGATCAACTTCTTGCTGTTTACTTCCATACATAATCTCTTGGGCATGAAATTAACCTAGTTTGAAAATTCAGAATGAAGAAAAGAAGATGGCTGTTTCCAGAATGTATGGTTAAGCCGTGGAATTCCTTATCACAGGTTGCTTGAAGTTTACCTAAATCCTTATGGAGATTTGACAAATTCAATATGATTGCATAGATTTACTGCTTTGTGTTTCAGAGCAATATAAGACATAAACACTAGTTAGTAACTTTACAGTAGAAAAAAGAACCATCCATCCTGTTAGGAAGAAGAGAGGATTTACATCCAAATAAGAGCACTTTTTTCTGTAGCTGAGAATTGTTCGTAACCATGTAGAACAGAAACACTTAAATCATTTTTTTTAATGATATACATTTCCTGCCCATAAACACTTGCAGATCATAAGGCTACAGGTACAGGCAATGCCATCACATAATCTCAGTCTTCAGCTTCTACATTTTTTCCATTATAAAGCTCCAACATCCATCATTTTATAGCTATATATTGTAAGAATGAGTCAGTTGTTGCTGCACCACAAGGGATGCATCTGGATTGAATCTTGTTACCCAACATAAACGTCAGGCCATTAGGATTTGCTTCTTTAGGGATAATTCTGACTTGCCTTTCGTGAATGTTCATGTTTTTAACTGAAACAATGACCAAGTATGTACATTTTGTGTATATCATGGAAATTGGTGCAGTGCTAGTGCTGCTGCTTTCAGAGGAGAATATTCACTTCTGCATTGTGCTATGCTTATGGCTAAGCAGCTATTTCAATTGTCTCACTACACAGAATAAATTCAAAAAAAGACTGAAAAAAGAAGTGTTTATGCTTTCTTTGTCTGCCATATGAATTTGAACTTTTTGAGGAAAAAGGCGTCAGCAGAGAGTACATGTAGGAGTTACAGAAGCCGTGCTGTCAGGGACCTAGGGAGGGCAGGAGAAAGATGAAGAGGTAAGGAAGTAACTTGAAACAAAACAGCAAGTCCTTTTTTGTAAGTTGAATCTAGGGATATTATGGAAAATTTCTACAGAGTAACACCATTGCATGCTGCACATCTTGGTTATCTTTTGATTATATAAACAATATTTAAATTATGTGAAAAGAAAATGTATATTAAAACTTAAGGTAAATTGCTGAGAGTTGTAAAATGCCAAAAATAATGTTGACCGTACGGTGTTAATGCATTTACTTGTTCGCATGCAGTATAACACTATGTAAATGCTTATGTGATCACGTACTTTATAAAGAGCATCTTTGCTCATTCATAACTCAGATGATGCTCCCTTAATGAGCAGCAATTTATTATTTTATATTTTCATTGATGCTTGTGTGTGTCCTCAGGTCTTATTTACACAAAATTAAAATTGTGCAAATAAGTTAGAAAATTATGTTATTTCCTTCATATGTTATTCAATTCTTTGTAGTGTCTATATGTTTTGCAAACATTATTTCTCTTCACAACCTCTTCTGTTATTTTCTTTATAGGCGTAGAACCAGGGATGCAGAGATGAAGAGAGCAAACAAAGCTCTCTGACTTCCTTTGACTGAAAATACAATTTTAGTGCTATTTGCAAAATAATGTAGGGGCAGACTTAAAGTTAAGAGCAAATTCAGAACCTAACTTTGAAGGATATTTTAAATATGTATGCAGACAAACTATGCCAGTAAAAACAAGATAATCGTGTCTCACAGGCATTAAAATCTTGGCTTCAGCTTGTGCTACATACCCTAGCTGAGAATGTAGCGATTAAGTCATCACATCTGAGGCCGAATTCTGAAAGGCGTGCAGTTTCTCCTACACATGGATAAAAACCATTCAGTTATTTGGTTTAGAATGTTTCTGTATTGCAGGTAACAGCCTGTAAAGCTTGGACTGAAATAGGAAAGGTACAGAGGTCAATTTTTATAAATTTTGAATTGCCCATTCTAACTAGTCGAAAGTTAAAGCATTCACATCCTGCTATTTGTGAAATAAAAGAAGCCCAAGCAGCACTGCCTTGCTACAGCTACACTGGTAGACAGAAAAGATGAAGCTAGAGTGAGGATAGAGACAAAAAGTTCTAAAATTTTGTTTTATGACAGAAATTTCAGACTAAGTTTTTTCTTTGCATCTGTTTAGGTGAGACTTATAAAAAAATCATGCACAATCACATACTTTTGGGTCGCCAAAGAGCTAAGATCTACCAGTGATCACCATATGTTAGTGCCTGCGTTCCTGTTTTACATGTGAAAAAAATAGCCATGTGTCAAAGGCAATAATCTGGTACTAGGGAATTTTTTTTCAGAATGATAAATATATACTATTTATACATGACAAATATGTGCATTTTTGTGTCTCTGTGTGCATGCACACGTGTTATTTATCCATGTAGCCCTTAGTCTGTTTACCTCAGGGCTAATTCTTGAAAGTTTTAAAGCGCTTCATGCAACCAGTGTTTTTCATTCAATCCACTACATAAGTATTTCCTTCTTTCCCCTATAGAGGTAGAATTTCCATTCCAGTAAATGACAAATTATACTGGCCTTAGGCCAAGATTAGTAGGCCTGGAAGATCAGCTCAGTGACAAATTTAAGGCATCTCACCATGGTTTTAGGCCGGACATCACAGAAGAGAAGAGATTCTCACTGAAGCTAAAGCTTTGCTTGAGCAGCAAAATGTTCTGTGATGCTCACAGCACCATTAGGTGAAGAAGTACCATTTTAGGTTCTTTGGTTCTTGAGTGAACAAATCTGCAGGATCTTCAAGAGAAGGATTCCACAAACACAAATTATGGTCTACCTTCTCCTTCTCTTTGGAGTGAATATTTTCAGGTTTGAAAAAGATTCAGCAGTGTCAGAGTACAAAGGAGAAAAGTGTATTTTATGAATGTATGTGGCCTTTCATAGGAGTTTCACTGCAAAGGAAAAGTGTGCATAGTATGCCAAAGTTATAACTACCCATGTTTCACGAGAAGCAAGGTTTTATGTGGGATTCTCTGATGCACAGAATAAAATATGCACTTCAGCGTGCATTTTGCCAAACATTTTCGTTCATATGATCACCTGTCAGAGGTGCAACTGTCAAATGTAAGATGAAAAATACATGAACACATTGAGTTGGTCAAATTGTCCCTTTGTAGGAATGTGTAGAAGAACTCATGTAGAAGATGGAATATCTTAATGGTAGTAGCAGTAGCAATAATAATAATAATACCTTATACCTATGTATCACTTGCCATCTGCAGGTAACTAAAATGTTTTGTAAACAGCTTTTGCAATTTCCTGATGTGTAAAGTTATCTCCGCTCCATTTTATAAGCTGGGAAAGGTCACTGAATGGTTTGGTCTGTTATTTTCCAAAATGATCTGTTTTACAGGGCATACAAAAAAGCTGATACCTGAGTTACAAAGCTGCTGGAATTGAAGTCAGTAGGATCTGTAGGTGCTTATTTGTTCTAAAAATGAGGATAGAAATTGTAGTCAATAGGTATCACAGCAGGAATTACAGGGCCCTGCAGCCACAGTTAACTGGCCTGAGCTCCACAGAGCAAATCAGAAGCCAGAACTCCCGAGTGACAGTCCTGAGATTCTTACCTATTCCTTTCCAAGAAAATAATGTAATTTATACAGATACAGTTGTTTGTTCATTTTGAGGGGGGGGGGGGGGGAAGAGAGAAAAGTTAATATACACAAAAATGGGCATTTGCAGAGAATAAATGTATTTGGGGCTGGTCCTTTAAGCACAAACCTTTAGGTTCTGGGCTGTGCTCAATTTTAAGAGTCCAAATTCAACATATTGTAATATATACAGTGGAACTTATATGAATGTTAGTCTAATGAACACATAGCATAATATATAAGCAATGGAAAATAGCCTCTTAATGCATCTCTTCTTTTTTCATTGATGTTCACAGCCAAGGGCTGAATGACTTCACTATTAACAAAGGGTACATAGAAAACTGAAGTGCCTGAAGTGGATCAAAGGATTGATGTTAATGTAGCGTAAATTAAGAAAAACAGAGTAGGGATGTCACCTAAGAATGACTAGTTTGTTTGTTGCTCTTTCAGGAGTTCTGCAAGGGCACAAAATACCTGGAACACTGCCATGTCTTACTGCCCTCCGCTGATGGATGAAGCTGTGAGAGCAGTGGCATTTCACTGCCACACACTAACATCTGTCACCATAGCGGGTTGCCCAAAGGGATGTATAAGAAATGGGGTAATAGTTCTGGGATTGCTATTGCAAAGAATTACTTAGGACTTCATTCAGAAATTTGACCTGGTGGCATTTGCGTCTTGTCACAATTCTACAATGTACTCAACTAATTTAGATATCAGAGCTTAAGTTCAACTGACTTTCCATGAGTTCTAAGTTCTGAAACTTGGCTCTCGAGAGTGTTTGGTGTTCTTCTAATGGTTACAGTTACAACATAAAGGTGTCCATACTGGATCAGGGAAAAGTTTGTCTCTCCAGGGGCTGATGTCGAGGGAAGGGTGAAGAGAGAAGGGCTTTTAGTGATAGTTCCTGCAAACACACTCTCAGCTTCTGGTGCTTTGGGTGTTTCCAAAAGGTGGTGTCTTTGCTTTAATAACTCTTGTTATTTTCATTGATGGGAAAAGTTGTTGCAGTGTTGCTTCCATCACTATCAAGTGGGAATATACGAAGTTTATTACTACTTTTGGAAAAGCTAATGTTGAACTATCCTTTAAAATGTCATTGTATTCATTGGACCAGTTTCCCCCTTTTTTCCTACTGAAGTGCCTATATCCTTCCACAATAAGTCTGCAGCCATTGCTTATTCCTCCCTTCCTCCTCTCCAACACTCATCTCCATAACCCACAACCCTTGACTATCCTTTCAGCTCTCCACACAGTCCTCATGTCCTCTTATTTACAGCAGTGGCTGAACACTTTAGCCTCCTGGCCAACTAGTTTGAGTTGACCCATCTGACTAGTTAGCCAGCACTAAGTTATATGTACTCTGATTGGTTTGTTAGTCTTCCAAATGTTCATAAGTTTCTCAGCATCTAGGCCAAACCCCACAGGCTGTCTCTCAGACCTGGCAGGCCAAGGAAGTCGCTCTGTGTCTTAGAATAGACCTTGGTTTATATCTTACAGGTACCTATACCTTACAGGTACAGGTACAGGTACAGGTACCTATACAGGTACAGGTACCTATACCTCACAGGTACAGGTACAGCATTAATTATTATATACATGGATCTCAATCCCCTGTATCCTTTGCTTTTAGATAGATATTAAACTATTTGTCCATAATAACAGTGATAATAGAAGTTGAGATGGAGATCTTCCCAAAGTAGTTGAAGTTAGGCAGTTTTGCAAGAAGTCTTCTCTGCCACGCTTTCCACTACACCTTACTGACTAACACAGAAGAAAAAAAACCCAAGAAAAACCTATAAAATGGCAGTAGATACATTTGGGCTGGAACATGGGAGAGTTTCTGATTATCAGAGCAGTGAATTGTAAAACACCATCCTGGGAAAGGAGACGGGGGCAAAGTATTAAAGAATGTTAGGATGGCTCTTGATAAGGCAATGAACTGGGTAGTTCCTGCGAATGGGAACAAGAAGTAGACTCAGTGACCCAGTAATCCCCTTCCAATGCTTTGTTCCTAGATGGTATCTTTTCTTTAAATGGTTATAAAACCAATCTGTTAACTGCTAATACCCTACTATTTTCAGAAAAGAACATCAAGACTCTTTCAAATAAACCTACACACAAGTTTACAAGTCTCTTTTTGACTTGAATCCAGCTTGCAGCTCCATAAAATGAGATGGGTACACCTTTGGATGTTAAAACTAATGGGTCTTTCAAATACTTTGGCAATCTGTAGTGTAAATTGAGGGGATCCTGCTGCTAAGTAAGGAAATATTTTCCACTCAGAGACTGTTAAAGAACGGTCAGGAGATTAAAGTAAGAATGAATCTGTTCCAAAGGATATATGCTACTATGTCTGACAGTCGTGTCCTACATCATCAGCTATATTATATAAAAAAAAGAATTAAAAAAAAATTGTAGCAAGAAAACATAGAAAAAATCAGTATACAAATACATGTCCATTAAGAGTGTTTTGGCGTGTGCTATGCAGGTTACTCTAAAATTAGAAGAGCTTATCACTTTAATCATCTACTGGGGCAAATTAATTGTCTTTGAACAAACTCCACTGCTTCAGTGAAAGTGCAGTGAGCCTCCCTGTCCCGTTTCTGTATACCTAGGACAGGTATAAGTCATTTTGCAAATGCTGATACTAAAATATTCAGCAGTGCAGTTCTAAATCTTATTCAAGGAATGAGCCTGATTCAAGACTAGTTCTTATTTCATAGGAAAAAAATGAAGTTGCTGTGGGAAACATATCCTACACATGAAAAAATATAGCAAGAACTGAAAATAAACCTCTAGTTAAGTGAATAAATCAGCTATTTAAATAGCAAAGGTCTGAAGACACAGTTTGATGGACAGTGAATTCTGTAATTCAGTCAATTAAAGGGAACAGGATTGACTGTATGATGAATGTAGATTTCTCCTAAATGCATCTGATACCGATCACTGAGTTCAGCAACTTTGCTTTATTTCAATAGGAATATTAATCTATTTATTAATATTTTAATCTACTTATTAATCTATTGCAGCTCTAATATTAAGCATATAGCTAAATCTGGAATAAGCAAAGCACAGAATTACCTCTATATTCCAGGAGGACTGTACCATGCAACAGTGTGCTAATTTTCTGTTTCACAATGCAAGGTCCCAGCTTCATCTTGCCTACTTGGCCCTTTTAGATTCTCATGAGATTGGCTGTTTAATGCACCTGAAACTCTCATCTCTCTTTCCACCATCCCACTCCACTGATTTTAATCAAGTGTCTTTTACAGGTCTCTGGCATGTCCCCTCTTGAATTTTGGTCCTGACTAAACAAGGTAATTCAAGTACGTACATAATTTATTCTTGGCTGTTTCCACCAAGGTCAGTGGAGCAATTAAGTAGCTTACATGACTGCTTACGTACCTTAAAGACTCTGTTTCATGAGTTTCTCAAATGCGACTTCCAGCATTAATGGCAATGAGTATCAGTTTAGAAAAATGGACTTGTGAGGTGAAACTCAGCAGCTCTGCCTCAGAGCTAAAGAAGAAGAAATATATGTTAAAATGGTCTTGGTGTGGGACACTTATTTCTAATAGAGAACTGAGATACAAACCTGATATGACTAAACTAAAGTGCAGCCTAATAGTTTAGTGAGAACAGTGCAAGAGCAGGTCAGGCTAAAGGCTTATATGTACTACATGCAAAATTATGAGGTTGGGAAATTTAAACCATTCTGATTAGGTGAAAAAAATCCCAGAATACTTTAGACTGTAAAGGAATGACAGTTAACTAAGACCTAATAAGCTCCTGATATGTAAGTGATGGTTCCTGTAGAGCCTCATGCAGAGATTAAGAATTTTGCTGTGGCAGAAACTTTACGTCCATGAAGTATTTTAAAACATAGTTTTCCCATAAATCAGACACTAAAATTGTACTCTGTTTTTTTCTGTCAACTATTCAATAATCTTCTAACTTCTGCGTGTCTTGTTGCTTCATTTACAGATGATTGATACTTGTATCCAACACTTGGCTGCAGCCTCCCATTATATCCACTTCTTGGATGTCTCAGGTTGCATTCATCTTACTGACAAAGCACTGAAATATCTTTGGAAAGGTTGTAAGTAACTCCAGGTTCACAAGATGCTGTACTGTAGAAATATTACCAAGTAAGAGGATGCTTCCCAATCTTAATTCAGAGGTTGCTGTAAACACAAACCCATGAGGTTTTTTCTTCAATAGCATCGTGGTGCCACGTGAGGTATCTGGCTTGAGCCATCTTGCTCCTTTATCTACAGGGTGTCCACATTGCTGCCTCACGATTCCTGTGGTGGCGGGTATTTACATATTTTAGTGTCAGCCAGAAGTGAAGGGAAATAGGGACCCCCTCTGTCTTTATGGCAGACAATGTCCTCTTAGGGAAGTTCCTGCAGACACAGGATCTCACCTCAAGGGCACATGGGGACATGAGGGAGAAAACCAGACTGGGCCTAATGCTCTCGGCCATCGCACTGTGTACTTGAGCTCACTCCGAGGGCTTGCAGGAGCCTGTTTCCCCATGACTGCATGTCAGTATATGACAGAAGCAGATTTGACCACTGATGTGGGCTTGTGCTCAAACTGCAGCATAGCTATGGCGAATGAGTCAAGGTATCATAAGCATAGTTTCATGAAATACAAGTGAAACATACTTGTTATATATCTACAATTGGAAAAAACAGGTCATCTACCACAATGTAGTCCAACTTCTCTACTGGTGTAAATGGACCCAGTCTCTTGATTCCCCATTGCATTTAAAAGCATCAGTTCTGGTCAGGTTTAGATATGATTTTTCAGCTGTGACTCTCCAAGATGCTGATCTAATGTCCATCACCCTTCCACAGGCATTAAGAGCATCACAGGATGGGGCTTTGAGCAACCTCGTCTAGTGGGAGGTGTTCCTGCCCGTGGCAGAGGGGTTGGATCTCGTCCCTTCCAACCTAAACCACTCTATGACTCTATGACACAGACCTGGCGCTGTACACCTAGAACTGCACAGCGGCCAGACACGCCAAAGGGACTGAAACTGTTTGGAAAAGAACTAAAGTTTAAGCATGGTTGATACATCGATTACTTAATCAAATTTTGTGACTTCAGTAAGAGTAAAAAATATGTAATACTATATTATGTGGAAAGTATACAACCTAGGAGAGCCTTAACCCCACTCTAACAGGACCACTGTAGACAACGCACTCTGTGTTAAATCATTCCAGGGTTTAATCGTCACTTCAGAGACCACAAGACCAATGCAAATGCTTAATAACTTTGAAGATATTTCCAGTGTGCTTCATGCTTTCCAAACCCTCCTTGGTTTATTTCCCTCTAACTGTCTCACCACAAACAATTCTGTTGTCATTACTTTTATTTTCTTTGCTTCTCTCTGACTTGGTCTTCTTAATGTCATCTCAGAACTTCCATCTCAAAACCTCTACTTCTAATTAAATACTTGTTAGAACAGAAAGTGTTTTTGAAAGACTGGTGTGCAAGAGTATGAATTGAAAAAAATTATTCTAAACTAACTACACTGTTCATTCTGAAAAAAAGATATTTCAAATACAATAATTTCCTCGTAACTTCCTGATTTGCAGTTTTTCTCATACTAATCCTTGAGGGATTTTCTTTTACCCACCGATTACTGTTGTTGACTTGCTTTTTCTGTGACTTCATATTTATGTTCAGAGCTCTAAACAGTGTGTCAGCCCTTTTGGGCTCTGGTTGCTTATACATCTTCCCGTAGAAGTGAGATATAGTAGGAACAGAAATTTGGGTTCAGTTCCAATTTATGTCAGGTGAGCCATGATCAGAGAGCTGACCTGACTTCTCAGAAAACCATTTGCACTATTGTAGCCTTTGCAGGATACCCAGGATTATGCCTCTGCCTCAGAGTCCCATATGTTATGGGTTCTCCAAACGTCTTGATTAAACTCTTCTGACTCAGCCAAGGAATTTCCCAACCAGTTATTTTTACTGTAAAGAAAGCCCTGGAGAGTTATAGATCTTTACAAAACAAAAAGCAATCATGAGACACACATCTCCACCCAGTGTTATCTTTGCCCTTTTTGTGATTTTTAGAATTAGGCAAACTTTGCCAATTTTACTTTCTTGAGCCTGGTTTTCTGGTATGCGACGGAGGATGGTTCGTTTCTTTGCCAGCTTCACTCTATAATACTTTGCACCATATGTTCGATGGTAGGAAACTCTTACCCCATGCTGTTTGAGTCTGGGACAAAAACTATCATCAGGTGGATCGACCATGTAGAACAATTCAGTACTGAAGACTTTTTCCTTGTTCCTTCCAACAAGTTTGAAGAGCCTCCCTAGACCTAGACAGGCTGCAGAATAGATTGACCATATCAAGATCAGAGCGGCTTTTCCATGCAGACTCTAAAACTGTGATTAGATAGAATGATATTCAGAAAATAAAGGAGTTCACAGCTAGATACAGATATATTCCAGATCCTGTATCTGTCCCAGTTTTGAAAAAACTTTTTTATTGTAGTTCAAGGCCAATATTGTGAAGGATTATTTGTTTTCTGCCAATAACTACACCAAAAGCACAGTAAAATATGGCAGTGATGCTACACCATTAGTCATCTCGCAGCAGATTTTCAGTAATGACATCAAAAGCAATGACAGTACTGTCACTTGTATGCCACATTATATTTTTATAGAACTATGTATTTCATTCACAACCTCTATGTTTTTAGTAATGAATAATAAGCAACATATTGTCAGGAAAATGAACAACAGGGTCTCATTCTCTGTTTTCAGACTAACTCTTACAACCGTACTTGGGTTCTTAGATTTTCATAGAATGCAGAGGAAAAGGCTGTTTTCAGGTGTAATTTACATTCTGCAGGTGTGAAACATACATCTCAGGGACATGTCCTTCCCTGTTTAAGGAGATGGAAGAGGACATCTATGTAAAAATCAGATTAATCTGGAGAACTAAACATGCTAGTGGCTTAGGTTGTAAGTAAGCAATAGAAGAAATATGTTTTAAGTTTAAAGTTGCCCTACAAAATCTGTAAATCGTATATACTTCATTTTGCCGAAGGAATTCCCTGTTATTTATTATTAAACACTAACCAGTCCTACCAAACATCTCTTAATAGATTGAACCTTGCAAATATTGAGGCATATCTCTTGTATTGTGTCACATTCTTTTCCAAAGTTTTATTTTTACTGTTGCGTTAGATTAAAATAGAAAACATATGGAGCCACAAAGTTCTTCAAGTTTCAGTCCAATGCAGCTTCATAGGAAACAGTTACGAGCATATAAATTGTCCATTCTTTCCAGTATCAGGTAGCATTCAAGATTATATTTGCCAACATACTACCCTGGTTCCAGGTTTATTAAATGTTAGAAGAAAAAAAAGGCTCTGGCCTGATATCCTGCTGCATATTTCTGTATCCAGAGGCTAACGACCTTTCAATTAATTCTGTTTCTAAATGCCAGAAAGAATCATGGATAACCTACCTGCGGGAGTAAATTATATTGATACAATTGCTTTCTTCTACTAGAGGAAAAGAAAGCTAACTAACCACTTTTAAAAATGTGGCTTCTGTAGGAAAAGGTTGGATTGGTTGGAATTCACTTAGGACTAATCCTAGAAGAAATGACACCCTGGCAGCTTTGGAGATACACTTCTCCTCCCTGTAAAACATTCTCCTTAAACTTCAAAACACAAACACCATTTAAAGTCAGGTGCAGTGCTGAGAAAGGTGTGGCTCTCTGTTAGCATTTCTGGGTTCAAAAGGAGGAAAGAAATCTGCCGTTGCCTTGAGACGCCCTCGCCAGCCAGCCTTGGGCGCTCACCAAACGGCATCTCGTCTGCAACAGTTTGGTTCCACCAAAAGCTGTTCTTTGAGAGCAAAATTAAATGCTTCCTGCACTAATATGAAACCAGTTACATTTCTTCTAAACTCATGACTACTCTGTTAACAAGTGACTCATCAACAAATACTATTACAATTTTTGCCTTTTAAATGGAAATTACATTGGGTCTTAATATGACATTTGGAGAACATTCTAACTTTTGGTTTGGGTTTTTTTGTTGTTCTGTTTTCTGATGGTTGCTGTAGGTTAGAAAGGAGATTGCAAGAACTCTGTTTTCTTGAAAAAAGCAGAATTTCTTAGGTATTATCCAGATATTTAGGTCTCAAGGCAGGAAGGATTTGGGAGTCCAACACACGTAATCAGAAATGAAGACAGCCTACACATGATTTGGTAAAGGACTAAGAATAATTACTCTGAAGTTTTCTCTTGAAGAAGCAACAAAAATACCATAGTACTGTCTTCTTACTGACTGTAAATTGCTCTTCAGAAGTGACGAGTAGGCTCCTGCAGTGCCAAGTTTCAGCCATCGTGTGCTCTTGAGCTGGGTGCCATAAAAAGACACAACTTCTGCAGCTGACACAGACCTCAGAGCACTTCGGACTTTATGTAGTCTTATCACTTTTTGTAACCTGGAGTGTGCTTGCAGGATGCTTTCTGCTTTTCCTGTTAGCTCTCTGCCTCAACTTGCCTCTTCGGCTTAATTTCTCTTGCATTTGCACTATAAGCAGTTCTCCATGTTTAAATTTTTCTTTTCCATTACTTTTTATGTGATTGTTTTTTGTAACCTTACTTTTTACTCTGATTGTTGTTTGTGACCTCATCTCAAAAATTCCTTTTCAAAAGCTCTGTTTTTTATTATGATGCACCCAGTCAAACAGTTCTGAATTCTGGAATGGCTCGGGATTCAGACCGTGATGCAGAACTGTATTTCCTAGCTACCCCCTCTTAGTAAAAGCGATTGAAACTTCGGGTAAGGATTCAATTATATATTCCAGTGCTGCTTGAGCCATTTGTTTGGGCCAGTGCTTTTGTCTGACTTATACCAAGAGATATTTGCTTTGCCAAAGATGTAATTATTTGCTGAAACGCTTTTATTAATCAATGTGCTTATTTAAGACATTATATAAATAAATAAGCAGGCTCTATCATAGTACAGTATATCTTAAAAAAAAGACCTATTTTGCCATGTGTTGATGATTAATGAATGGCTGTTTCTGGCAAACCAATCAACTGTAGCTCCAGGCATGGGACAGCCTAAGTTTCAAAAAAAATAGTAACAGCTCCCCTTATACACGCTTCAGACAGCCATACATTGCAGTTTCCATAAAAAACAGGAATTTGGACTTGGATAAGTTGATTTTTATTTTATAGCTTAGAGCTTATAGCTCATATAAATTGTGCACACATTCCTCAATGGCACAGGCCTCCCTAATATAAAAACAGATAGAGCCTTGTCTTCATGTGGTTCATACAGTGTGTTAGTGTTAGATTTTTAAAAAAAAACCATCCTGCAGTGGTTGAAAAGGAGCCCTCCTTGCTTTGCTACTTTTGTCCCTTTTGCACCCCTCCCCGCTTCCTGCTCCCTGCTGCGGTGGTGCAAACACTACAGCTCTGCACGACTGCCTCTTTTGTAACCAGCTTCAGCATTTTCACTTTGGGAAAAAAAAAAAAACCTGTAGGAGCATTACTGGCAGATAACAGACCGCTTTCATTGGGGTTTTTTTTCTAGTATTGTCTAGATGCCATATATTATATTGTTACAGAGCTTAGGAAACTGGCCAGCAGGGAGAAAGGCTACCTCGCTGTGGCTGTGACACAGCAGGTCAGGTTGAATCTCCTGAAGAGGACAGGAGACGTAGAGAGCTGGCTCTTCCCCAACGAGCACATGAGTATGCTCAGCCCGGGGGAGCTTTCTGGAGCGCAAGAGCCAGCGGTGGGGGGAGGCTGGGGGAGGCGGGTGCTCTGTGCAGCTGGGAGCAGGCTGACAGCCAAGTCGCAGAAGTGATGGAAAGAAAGAGACATTCAAAAGACTGAAAGTGGCTGGTTTTGTTTCTTCAGCTCAGGAAGGGAATGAAAGTTGCTGGACTGATACCGCCTGGAAAGGAGGGAGAAGAAAGAGTTGCTCTTCAATTTGTTTTTAGCGTGTCTCACTCAGCAGACCTGATTTTTTCCTATTTTTGTGTCATTTTGCTCTAGTTTGTTGGTTTTGTGTTTTAATACTGCACAGGGGCAGTGGCCACAAAATGCCAAGGGAGATCAGAGGGGTCATGGGTGGTTTTGGACACCATAAGCAATTCTCTTCTGCTTCAGCTATCACAGAAGCTACGAAACACAGCCTTAGGCATGCTCGGGGCCAGTGCAGGTAGCAGTAAGGCTCCGTAACACTGCCCATTGCGTATTCAATTCAGTTTCAGAAACCATACACTTTATAAAGAGGTGGGTGACAGAAGATAACTACAAGTGAGGAGGTTAGATCTGTGCTTTAGGCTCCCCAGTCCAGACAGACACTGACACACAAGTGCCCATGAGGGCCACCAAGACCATTAAAGGGCTGGAGCATGTGAGGTGTAAAGAGAGGCTGAGAGAATTGCGCTGCTCAGTCACAAGAAGAGAAAGCTCCGGCTGGAGGAGACCTTACTGCTGTCTCTAACTCTGATCAGAGGACAAAGAAGAGAAGACATGGCCAGACTGTTCTCAAAGGTGCACTGATAGGACAAGTCGCATAGGTAAAGTTCTGATTACATACAAGGAAACTTTTTTAATCAGGAGGCTAGTCAAACACTTGAACAGGATCCCAGAGAGGGTGTGCAGTCTTCATCCCTAGAGATATTCAGAGCTGGCAAAGACATGACGCACCTAGTCCAGTCGGATCCATTTAGAGCAGGACCAGGACTAAATGATCTCCAGCAGCCACTTCCACCCTAATGTATTCTACGACTCTGTAACCTAACCAATTATCTTATTTTCTAGTTTCCACAACATCTCTTATAACATTGATAGCCTCAGTTAAAACAAGGAATTCTTGCTCATTAAATGTAGCGTTTAATGTTCTTTGTAGAAACAGTCTTTGAAAACTTTTTTTACTCTTGTAATTTTTTTTTTCCACTCTTGTTGCAGACAGGCTGTTTTGAAATACACAGCCAAATTGGAGAAACAAGAACATAATGATGCTGACCCTCCTTCCTGGTTTGGATATGACCAGGATGGTAACGTACTCACCTTCACCAAAAAACACAAATCAGAGCCTGAATAAACAAATTCTTCAAAAGGAAAGATGAAGAAATTGCACAACATCTTCTACAGTTCAAGGCGTTTTCACTAGAGCATGAAAAGAACACTATATTATTTTTCTTAAAACCAATCATACTTTAATAAAAGGTTGTTTGTTGAATTATTAAGGAAGCATTGCAAATCTTTCTTGCAGGAGCGTGTACGCCTTCAAGCAAGACAGTCACACTGCAATAACATTGCTAACTTTCATATGTTGATTCAAGCTGTCTTCATCTTTCAATAATGAGAAGTTTTTGTAGTCCCATGCAGAGTAAGCAATAAAAAAATCTGCGTGTGTTTGGGGTTCTTGTTTGCCATGAAGGTCCTCTCCAGCACATAAACACTCTGACTTCCCACAGAACTTCACACTTGGCATGGCTGCTACTCATCAAGTACAGCATTCTTGAGCAATGAAGAGCTGTGAATAGGTAGTGACTACTGATTCCTCAATAAACAACTCTACATGCACATTTAACCACAGTCCTCTACTTCTTGACAGTCACTTGTGCATCCAGAGCCCTAATTCTTATAACAGCCTCTCAGGGTGAGTTCAAGTCATGAATGTTTACATTTGCAGATCTGAACTGTAGGCTAACTAGCAGCTGACAAGAGTCAGCACAAGCAAATGAAAAGGAGCGCAGTTGAGAAAAGTAGTAAAGGATAAATTTTCTCCAGTTACAAGAACATGTCTTCTCATCAAATCAACAAAAAAATGAGCACACATGGGATTTGCCATTCAAATCCTAATTACTGATAACCCGCTATTTTTTCCTTGTCTAGAGAAAAATATAAAGTTTTACCTTATTCTAGCAGAACAAGATATTACTCAAATGTCTTTGGGGAAACTCCCAAAGATTTGTCTTTCTTCAGCTCATTCTTGACCTTTATGTTAAAGTTCTAGCTGGTCTCAACATTTATTAGCCTGGAAAGAATATAATCAGAGTAGCTTTAGCAGTAGCACAATTTTTCTGATGGGTTATTTGAACTTCAAGCAAGTAACTACCAATCCTAATGTTTAACTCCAGCTAGGTTTAAAATATGAATGCCTTAGCTTGCTTACTTTTGAACTTGGAAGAAACTTGTTTTCTCACTATGCTCTCCCTTAAATTGCTGATGCAGCAGTCCCAAAACACATGACCTTAATCACAGAGGCTGACAGGCTTTGTAGTCTGAGTGAATAATGGAACCATTAAATGGACTCAATTTTGTGAAATATCTACTACACCGGTTTTATTTTCAATGCAGTATGAATTCAGAGAGGTGCTTCTTTCACTTTGTTTGCAGCAGTGCACAGAAAATCATTCATTTCAAGAATTTTTCAGGAAATCTAGCTATTACACATTTATTATTTTTATATATTTTAAAAGTAGTGTAATAATAATTACTAATAACTAGTAATATAATATTTCTTTTAGAAATAATATTAGTAATGTTTTATATATTATAGTTTATATTAAAAATACATATAATTTGCCATACACATCGGTGTCTACCACATCCAAACAAACAGTACACACAATGGCAAATAGAAAGTGGAGTTTTTAAACCACCCTCAATTACAGTAAAAACGCTGCCCTTGACTACTGAAGTCTGTTAGCCAGGGGCAATTTATACCTCTTGGGGAATCCTGCGGGAAAGGAAAAGTTCATTTCATAATGTACCATTATGTACATACACACATATACACAACTTAAAACTTGAGCTGACACTCTGAATTCCTCTTTGCTGCTCTCCATCGACTCCTTTGGCAGGAATTCTTACATTTCAGTTTTAAAACACAAATTTCAGTACTTCTTTTACAAGGTGCCATATATATGTATGGAAAGGCTTTTAAAAGATCCATTTACTTTACTGTGTGTTTCTATTATGGTAACACAAAATCCTCCACAAAAATCATGTATGTCCTTGTGCAGGGCGTACACACTTCCCTCGCCTCCCTCCTCTGCCTTTCTGCCTCAAAGAGCTTACAGTCCTGTCATGCGAGGCTGACAGTAAATCACTGGAAATGCATCAAATAAAAAGATTACAGTTCTCATTTATTAGGCCAACACTTCCCTTCTTTGGCTGCTTTTACTTTAGGGGAATGTTCATGTAGACTCTTATCTGAAGTCCAGTTGGTGGAGTGTTCCTCCTTGAAATCAGCCAGATCCATCGCACTTTTGAATATTTATTTTTAAAAGCTTTTCTTTGCAGACAAACAGTGGTAGACATAGCTAGAATTCTTATTTCTATCCACAAATAAATGGTTCAGGATGACATGGAGCAAGCTCTGTCATTTCATATACGAAGTTTAACACATACAGTACCCATTGACACAGCAGAATCTGTTTAGGGGTCAAACACCAAACAAGACAACCGAATAAGAACTACAGTTCTGAAAGTGGTTTTATCCTACACATAATGCAAATAATTTGGTTGAAGAAAATTCTCTGCACTTTGCATAAACCAGTAGAATACCCACAGTACTGAGACATTTAATTTAAAGATATAAAATAGCTTGCAGATCATGTCATCTTAGAAGTAAATTTTTACATTTTCAAATACCAGATGTTGAAAATGCTTTTTATTTTTAAACGATGGCTCCAAACTTTTGTTTGAAAGTTACCAGCTTTTAAACCGACATGGTAAGTGGGTCAAGTTATACAAATTCTAAATATGTAAGATCTTGCCATTCCTAAAAGGCACTAAAAGTAAACCAGACCTGTTAAGCACCAGCCACTGTCACAGGCAAATCTTGGCTTAAACGCCCTCATTTTTAGTATTGTTTCTCTCTTATATTAAGAATATGCATCAATGAAGTTTCATAATTTTACAGAATGTTCCTCTACAATTTCTTGATTTAATCTCTTTGGCATTTCACCTTTAAGAACTCTTCAGCTTGACAGACTGGATCCAGCTTTGGCTTTTAAGACATACTTTGCCATTTTGTGTGTCAGCCTTAATCCATTTGTCCGTTTCATTCCTTTGATTCATGTGACCTGGAAAAGAGAGGTCTTTTTAGTTTAATTTGACACACAGTAAACATATCTTCACATTGCCTTTTTTCTTCAGGCCCCCTGGCAATACTTGTAAGACTTTTATTGGGTAGAATTTGCATAGTTTTAGCAGGGGGTTCTGACATTTCATTCTTGATACAGTTTTTTGCATTAATCTCAGTTCCCATAATATGTTATTACAAAAAAGTTATGTTTTTGTGTTATAAAGTACCGTAGTTTTTATTACTTCCGCCTGAGTGGCCAATCCAGCCCAAACCATGACAATGGGCTAAGAAATAAGTCTACATTGGACATTAATCTGGCTAAGTAATTTGAAAAATTTTCATCTTTATTATAAACACGGAAAAGAGACATGGGTAAGACCTGATTTTCCAGATGACCAAACACATTCCTACTATTACTGCTTTATTATGATAATGGGTTAAAAAAACACCCACCCCAAGATGTGTCTGTCTTCTATGTTTCACATAAACTTTGTATGCATGCTCATGCTCACTGTATATCAGACAAAGGAATTCTTAATTTTACAATTAAGAAACTGAGGCCAAGAGAGAATAAGCAACTTTCCAAATTTATGCAGAAGATTTATGACCAAATTGGGAATTAAACTGGGATCTTTTGTGTTCCAAATCAGTGCCTTTATCACAAGATCAGCCTTTGCTTTGGTTTATCTTTACAAAATATCTTTTATTATTACTTTAGTGTTTGTGTGACTGAGCAAGTTCTAAGTTTAGAACTAATTTGAGCCTGGAATAGCATGAGGGATGGCAGGGAAGCAGAATCTGAAGAAACTTTGCAAACATGCTCTGCTCCGACCTGTAACGCAGCTGAAGTTAAATTTTGGCCATGTCAAAACTCATGGCGAAACTCCAACTGACATCACTGCATCGGTTTCCACAACTCAAGCCTATGTGCCAGAACTTTTCAATAGCGCTTCAGCGCTTTGGTACTTCGAAGTGTGATTAATTTAAGATTATGGGCCAAACCCACATCAATTCACTAGCAGGCTGAGGTACTGTTTAGAAGTATGGGATTTTCAGAGGAGTCCAACACTGATGGAGTTCTCCCACTGAATGAAGACGTACTTCAGATTTCAGTGTCCTTTGTTATCAGCCTACAACATGCCTTTACGGATCTACATGTGGATGTCCTAGTACAATATGTGCACTCCTGATTGCTCCAGGCAGCAAGTCTCAATCATACTCAGTCTCAATATCATCACTGTAAGGCAGAATCCACAGTTCTGCTCCCCATCTAATTACGGACTTAAATCTATGGTGATGATCACAAAGTTGGACAAATGTGTTTTCTGTGCAATCTGTTAAAATATGAAACTTCGATTCCTCAGAAAGCTTTCCCAAATCATCTATCTGCAACAGTATTGTATCAGAGAATACAGAACAGAAACAAAACCAAAAATCTATCTTTTATGTAGAGGTAGCCCTTAAAACATTAAATCAGCGTGAATTTTAAACAGAAAATAGCCTCCAGGTGTCAAAAAAATGAACTAACAAAGAAAAATTTCAGTTGATCCCTTAACAGAGTTGTAGAACACTGAAAATAGTTAGGTGGTTTTTTTTTTTTCCTAAGGAGAGAGGACACAAGAAATGTAGGGCAGAGATATATTTCCAGAAAGTGCATATTGGAGTGCTTGGTCCCAGTTCATCTCTCTCATGGTTTTGTCACCATGGCTCGTACTTCCATACAAGGAACAATCACTGAAGCACAGCATCAGTCCTGTAATCGAACAGTTTCATGCACTGGTTACACCCTGCTACGCTTTTGCTAAAAAGTTAGAGTTTTGAAGAAACACAGAAACAAATTAACAAGAGCTGCTTTAAAGTGCAGTTGTTATCTGAGCTCTGTTTCTCATTTTGCATTTGCTGTGTGAACTTAGAAAAATGTTTTGTTCCTTATGCTTCTTTTGGAGATTTGCCTGTGAAGGGAATGCAGAAAGTATCAAACTGCTCACAGGAAAGCGAGTGTCAAGTTCCACTCCCTAGGGATGAAGCTCTTCAAACTATTTTAAGGTTATTAAACCTATCGCCAGTAGCAGGTTCAAATCAAGCTTAAGATGTTTAAATAGCTTCGTATATGAGGTACTAATCAAGCAACAAGGTTTAGTTGGAGACCTTCTGATGACAGTTTGGTCTTAACTGTACTCACTGCCTGTACTCTGAATACTGTGGGAATGTAAGTGGATTTTGAGGATTACTTTGCTAGCATGTTAAATCACTAAAGCCAACAGCCTGCTGGATTGAGAATAATGAGGTTTAAACAAAAACAAACAAACAAACAAAAAACAGAGGAGAAGATAGATGCATTGGTATGCTCTGTGGCCACTTTTTCAATTTAACGCCCAGGAGAAAGGTGTTTTTTTTTTTTACCATGTGTGGTGTCTAAAGGCAGAGAACACTTCTGCAGAACTTTACACAGTCAAGTACTGACTGTTTATTCACTTGCCTTCCTGGAGACTGGAGAAGTTAAAGACAGCTCTGTTTTCATATCATAAAACACACGAAGAGGAGCATATTTTAAACATTTTCATTGGTATTGTTAGGACTGTGGTATATCTCAAAAAGGCTGCGAACAGCTTGAGTTAAATGCAAGCTGAAACCAATAAAAATTTGTAGGATAGCATCTCATCTAATGTGTTTTATAAAAGTTGGATGAACTTTCTATTTACTTGAGGGAATGTAATCTTTTCCAGATACAACCTGGGTCTTTGTTTGTTTTTTTAAGATACTGCTTAGGGACCAAAGCTTCACAGAGGGACAGTGTTTAGAGGGACACTGTAAAATAAAGCTCTTTCCACTCAATTCTAGTGGCAAAGAGTGAATAAAAATTGCTTCTAGGAAAGAAGGGAAGTTTTGAAGAAGTGCCTTGAGAACAGAGAAAAGAGGGAGGGACACGGCAGTGGACAGTGTTACTCCTGGGATCAGAACCATAACTCTGAATGCAACAGACCCAAGTTAGCTGCACAGTGGGAGAAGGAGTGCTACACTTAGACAGCTGTTAAGTTTCAGAAAAAAACTTAAGTTTCAGCAAACTGACATAATATAAGCTCTTTCAGTTATTTCCCTTTTAAAGGCAAGTTGCTTGCCTCACATTATTCACTGCCTCTTCAACTGTGTTTGTATTTAACCCTGGAACTCCAGGCAGCTAAAAACACAGACATTACCTTAAAGTAAACAATATGAAACTTTTGGTAACAAAAGCAGTGACACACATACATAAAAAGTTGTATGCAGAGTATGAGATTCATGCAGTCAGCTCCCTCCTTGCACACCTCCTTTGAAGCAACCTTAAGTCCACAGCACTTTATAGGCCACTTTCCCAGTACTACTGGATGAGGAGCCATTATGTGAGTACTGACAAGTAAGTTATTCCTGAAGGTAGGAAACACGTGTCTAAATCCCCTGTGTTCCACAGGACAATCCAAATCTAACCTCAGGTAGACATGAAAGTAGTTATTTCAGTGCATGCCTAAGTGAATGAGATTGTTGTAAGGAGAAAGGTGCTTCTCACCACAATCTACCTGGAGAACCAGACAGGGTGAAAAGAATTGAAGTAAGAGAAACCCAAAAAGTCAGAGACAGGACAGTGGTATCAATGTTGGTCTTTTCAAGGGAAGCTGGTAATTAGACAGGCTGACTCTCTCCAAAGGCACATGAGGAGGAAGGCCATCTAAGGAGTTCACAGTGGTCAAAAGTAAACTTGGATGCTGGATCAACCCATAAGGTAGAGGGAACATCTACCTCACAACTTTCACAGGAGAAAAGAGGTTAGAGAAGACAACAGGAGATTCCTCTCCATCCCCAGGACAGACATCTGGGGGAAGGCATAAGTTAACATAAAGACAGAGCCCTATTACCTGTATGCATGGTCACCAGAAGGCATGGCTCTGAGAGCCACTGTTAAGATGCGGCTCAGTAAAGCTCTAGTGCTGTAGATGGGGTGGGATTCGTACCAAAAGCTAAAAATCCTGTTAACTGCTGCAACTGTTGTCACACTGGATGAAATAGGGAGCAAGAATATCTCAACTTGGAAGAAGACAATCATTCCCAAAGAGTACGTTCGTTGTAAAAGGACAGAAAAATACAAAGAGGTTGGTTTGCCAGCTTGAGAAAGTAAAAATAGGAAGACACAATAACCTACAAAGACAAACATCCACAGCCTCTGAAGAGCACCTGTGACACTGTGGGTCTTCTACCAAGGAAAGTGATGCAAGTGCTGAAAACCAGATGGAGCAAGTGACTGCCAAAGTTAAAAGCTCCCTTGGCACTAAGCAGATGGATGGCATCAGGTCAAAGGTTGCTGCTGGATATGAACTTGGCACTAGAACTGGGGCCAGGGATGGAGAAAGATCTGGAATTAGATTAGTCCCTGGCACCACTCAGAGACGTAACATTTCCATGGTGTAAAGAAAAGGGTTATATTCCAGACAATTAAACTTGGAAATTGACACCATCAGCTACGGGATCCAAAGAAAGTCTCTGAACAATTGCAGGAGTTTTTCCAGCAAGCTTAGTTCTCAACACACAAGCTGGCAATGGAAGTGGGCAGAAGCATGCCCACTGGCTGCGTTCATTTAGTCCTCAAATTCATCCGCCCACATGCCTCATAACCTTTCTTTGAGTTACTTTGGAGTGGGTGGGAGCAGATGGTCACATCAACTTAGGACAAGAGAAAACAGGGCTGAAAGCAACCTCCTGAGGATGCACTATATTTCACCTGACATGCTTGCCTAGCCTGTTCTTCACAATCTGCAGTACTGACAGTCCCATGGCCTCACCAGACAAGTGCTTAATACCAGAAAGTTTATCCTACTATTTAGCTAAGTTTTTTTGTTGTTGTTGTTTTTGGTTTTTGGGGTTTTTTTACAGTAAGGTCAAATCATAATTTCTAGTCCTACCACCAGTGGACAGAGAACAATTTATTTCTTTCATATCTGCAGCAATTTCTTAAGTACTGGAAAAGCACAGGTCATCTTCCCTCAGTCTTCTTCAGACAAAAAAGACACTTTTTTTTCAGTCTTCCCTCATAAATCGTGTTTTTTAGGCCTCTGTTCATGTGTTCTCCTTAGGAGTTTCTACAGTTGTCCACATCTTTTTTGAAGTACAGTACTCAAAACTGGACACCTTCCAGTGAAGTATTACTAATGCCATGTAAAGCCAAGGGATTATTTTGAGTTTCCCAGAACAGTCATGTTAATACACTGCTTATTTTTTTCAACTACGTAACATTATTTTTTCCTGTTTACTGATGTTTTTATTGAACTGTTCCTCCTTTTGGAACTACACAGGTAATTATTCCTACCTTTGTACTTTGAACTTAAAAGGACCTATTGGAAAAATGACCTAAAAAGCATATAAATCAAGATTATTTGAATTTTAACCCTGCCCTTCAAAATATTTGTAACCCCTCTGGCATGACAGTCTCCTAAGCCCCTTTTCTGCTTGCATATTTGACACTTCTTAGCCTGCTACCCTTCCTCTTACCATATATAGTTCCAGATATAGTTAATGATCCCTACAGGCAGACCAGGAGACATAGGGAAGGCACAGACATCAAGTAGCAAGGGCTAAGCAGAATCCTCTCTTCTTACCCTCTTTGCCAGGAAAGGAAAAGAACGCCTTGATATGATCACCATCAGAAATTACTGGAGTTACTCAAATATTCTCAAACTAGACAGCTAGACCAGCGCTTAGCACAAAATATCTGGTTTTATAACAGATTTCATTGTAACACACATACTATTCCTACGAGTGCCTACTGATGTCAATGGAAACGGATGCCTTACCCTTGCAAATTACTCTGAAGAGTAAACTCCCTGGCACTGCTCTCTAGTTCCTTCCCTTTCTCAGCAAGTATCCCAATTTTGCAGGAAAGTCCCTTCCTTTTCCAAAAGAGCAAAACACCTTTTCACACTCTCATCACTCTGCCTCTAGACCATTCACTCCAGGATTTCATCATCTTGCTTTGACTAAATCCTGCTCTATTCCTTGGCTATCTTGCAAAACCCTGGATGTGACCGCTTGTGGGATTGTAGTGTACTGGCTTCCCCACTCAACGTGGAAATGGGAGCCACAAAACAAGGTGATGACATACATGTACCAGCAGTAAAGAAGTCTTTCCTAGAGCAGGTGACAGACTAGGTGCATGTTTACCCAACTCACAGAACTCTACCCTGTCTTCCTACTGGAGAGTCTCCTCTCTGACATCTCTCACAATATTCCCAGAGGCAAGTAAAGCTTCCTGAAAGCAGCCAGTTCCTGTGTTATCCACGAGAACTGGCTAGTTTCTGAAAATTAATCTATTTTTAAACTAACCTTTCAGCTTAGAAGCATAAAAATCTAGACTGCCATGCTCTTGTGATAGAAAGTTTTCTTCCACTTGGCAAACCCCCTTGTCTCTCCATTGTATATTTCTTTAGTGGCAGCAGCAGGACAGCTATAGACTCTGTACCTAAAACTTCAAGGGTGTATAATGTTTTCATGATATAGAAACGGTATTAAATGATTTTTACTTCTTTCATAATCTACTTGTAGAAGAAAATTCTCAAATATCAACTTTAAGATGAAGAGATTTTTTGAGAATGAGGGGAGAAGTGCTTGGCCTGCAGAAAGAATACACTGTCCCCATGGGATAAGGTAAAGAGAAGAAGAAGCAGGACACATCTCCCTTGCCATACCAAAGGAATGTTACTGACTTGGCAAAGAAAGGGGAGGCATGTTTCCAGAAAAGGAATCATAATAATTTTTTTTGTGCAATGCTGTAACCTCTTTAAACACCTGAAAAATTAGTGGCTTAATGCTGTTGTCTCTGCATAATTCTTGATGATTTCTGTTCCTTTGGGGTATGTATATTTCAGGGTTAACTAGAGCTGCTTTTGGCCTCAACCACCAAGATAATTTCCATACAGAACAGTGGGTTGAAAAATTGCATCCGCTTCAGCGATGACTGTCCTACATAAACACTGACTGGGTCGTGAAACCAGAGAAGTCATTCAGCTGCGTATATTTGAGACATCACTCTTATCTTTAATGTTGCCAGAGTAACAAGAGGATTGACTGGCTAGTGGACCTCATTCACCATTCACTGGGAGATGTGTTGTTTTACTGCTGAGGGGATTCATTCCACAGAGCCTTGCTGGAATCTAGGGTCCTTCCACAGGTTTCTAGCCTGAGAACTTCTAAACATAGTTTTTAAAAAAATTTGTATTTAATAACCACTAGTAAATTTAAGTGCTAGTTATTGTTCAAGACGGGAAAAGGTACACCTACACATTCCAAGACTATTTTATATAAGAAATCTACATATTAAAATTTTGTACATATAATTCTAACATTTCCTGACTTTGAGATGACCATCTTACATGGGGGCAGAAAATAAGCCTTGTGCATATTTTCTGAGGTTTAAAACCAAAGAAAAACTCAAAGCCTCACCCAATCTGCTATCCTATCAGGTCATACTGACATAATACATTCAAAAACAAAGCTGGAGCCTTCAGACACATTACGTTAGTGTTTCCTCTTGAGCAAACTGAGTAATTGGTAACAGCAACAACTTCTAGATAGACACGTCTGGAGAGGAGGAGAGAAATACACACCCTAACAATGAATTGTAAAACTGTTTTCTAAAGCAGGAAACAGCAAGACTTGGGATTCCCGAGTTCAGTTTTAAATGCATTAGAAGAATGCTTCCAGTAATTGCAGGCATCTTTCCATGTACTCTATTCCTCCATGCTCCAGCTTCTTCTGCTTTTCTCCTAGCTATCTCCCACCCGTAATTTCTCAGCCTATCCTGCACTGTTTAACATTTATACAGTACATTTATAAATATACCATATACCCCTTTTATGTCCCCTTTCCACCCAACAAAGACAGACAAACTTTTCATTATCTTTTTAATAGACATTCCCTAGCAATTTATTTTATGTGACTGTCTGTCCAACAAAGCAATGGGTCAAATTCAGCCCTGGATTACCTCCCACATATTCCTTGGATTAAAGCTGAGGATGAATTTGGCTCTAAGACTTTTGTTAGAGAAGCAGTTGTTTGGATTCACAACTCATTTACCAAACAAAATGAAAAAGTCATCTAGTAACATGGGGAGTACAATGGTACAAGTAAACATTTGAACCTGAAACAGATGAAACGAGAAGAAGCCAAGAGCAGTAAACTCATAAGAAAACGTAGATGCCTTTGACTATGGCCAGACAGACATTTATTGGAAGCCAAGATTAGTAAGACTTACCACTTATAGTTACGTGGTCATCTTTGGAGGCACTCTGTGTTTCTTTTAACTGGATCTCTGAGCTCACATCCACTTTTCTTCCAGATAACTGTAAATAGGCTTTGAGAGAGGCAGGTACCTTGACTGTAATTGAACCTGGTATAAATTTAAATGAAAGCAATTTAGTTTAACATTGAGATCAAAGCTTGAAACAGGCAATTATGTAGCTAACTTGAATCAAATCATCATTTGGGGATTTTTTGGTTTGGTGTGGGTTTTTTTGTTTTTGTTTTTTTTTTTCTTCTTTTTTTTTTTTTAAGAGCCTTCAGACACCATAACCTCTTTTTTTGGTCTCTGAAAGGATAAATGAAGATATCTTCATTTATCATAACCAGAATACTGTATGCCACATGTAAAAAGTGGTGTCACAGTATTTCTTTGACAGACATGAAGATTAACATTGACATACACTGCTAGAAACAGCTCTTGGCAGGGGATCTTATTACAGGAATTGTCAAGGGAAGCAAATCTAATAGATCTCAAAAATATTACGACTTCAGTTTCACCTTCTAGTTGCATATTTAGATTCCTGAGTAAGGACAGGGGATCAGATTTGATGATTAATCCAGCCACTACATGTAACCTTATGAAAGAATTGCTCCTCTGGAACAATGAGATACCACTTACATACTGTTAACGCTAGCAATTGTCTTTGCTTTACTGCACAGGGTCAGTTATTCATATACTTGAACAGATGCAATCTCAAAAGTGACTAACCTGTTTAGACTATGTATCACTAAAATGTAAACTACTAGCAAAAGTCCGGCTTTAGTGGCCCAAATAATTCTACCCTTGAGATTAAAACCAGAAATTCTGACTTCTGCTTTCCCTAAATATGTGCTTCTATGCATCAGACTGAAGGCAGATGCTGGGGCCCCAACCTGCCCACGTTAGTCAAATTTGGAATTACTCAGTTACAATCATAGAATGATTTAGGTTGGAAAGGATCTTGAAGATCATCCAGTTCCAACCCCCCTGCCATAGGCAGGGGGACCTCCCCCCCCTCAAAGGGAAAAACTTCTTCCTAATGTTTAGTCTCAACCTGCCCTCTTCCAGTTTAAAGCCATTCCCCCTCGTCCTATCAACTACATGCCCTAGTAAAAAGTCCTTCCCCAGCTCTCCTATAGGCCCCCTTCAGGTACTGGAAGGCAGCAATAAGGTCTCCCCAGAGCCTTCTCTTCTCCAGGCTGAACAGCCCCAGCTCTCTCAGCCTCTCCTCATAGGAGAGGTGCTCCAGCCCTCGGATCATCCTCGTGGCTCTCTTTTAGACACGCTCCAGCAGGTCCATGTCTTTCTTATGCTGAGGACTCCAGAGCTGGATGCAGTACTCCAGGTGGGGTCTCACGAGAGTGGAGTAGAGGGGCAGAATCACCTCCTCTGACCTGCTGGCTGTGCTCCTTCTGATGCAGCCCAGGATGCGGTTGGCCTTCTGGGCTGCGATTGCACATTACTGGCTCACGCTGAGCTTCTGGTCAATCAGCACACCCAGGTCCTTCTCCTCAGGGCTGCTCTCCAGCCATTCCCCGCCAAGCCTGTATTTGTGCTTGGGATTGCCCCGACCCAGATGTAGGACCTTGCACTTGGCCTTGTTGAACTGCATGAGGTTGGCTTGGGCCCACCCCTTCACCCTGTCCAGCTCCCTCTGGATGGCATCGCTCCCCTCCAGCGTGTCTACCTCGCCAAACAGTTTGGTATCATCGGCAAACTTGCTGACAGTGCACTCGACCCCACTGTCCATGTCTGCGACAAAGATGTTGAATAGTACAGGTCCCAGTACTGATCCCTGAGGAATGCCACTCGTCACTGCTCTCCACTTGGACATCGAGCCGTTGACTGCAACTCTTTGAGTGCAACCGTCCAGCCAGTTCTTTATCCACTGAGTGGTCCATTTGTTGAATCCACGTCTCTTCAATTTAGAGACCAGGATGGATATCGTGTGGGATGGTGTCAAACGCTTTGCACAAGTCCAGGTAGATGACATCAGTTGATCTTCCCTTGTCCACTGCCGCTGTACAATGTTTGGAAGCTGCACCCTACACATTAAAACTACCCCCTACCAAAATTCAGAATACACTTTCTGCATATGTGACCCTTAGTTTTTGCCCAATTCCAAAATTCACTTTAGAAAAGATAAAAAAGTTTCTTTAAATACAACCCAAAAGCCGAAGCAGAACACGTTAAGGAAAGTGATGTTATAACGTCAGAAAACAACCCTTGCTATGCCATTTAAATTCAGCAGAATCACTTGCCTACAACAGTCCTAATAAACAAATAACTGTCAATATAATTTAATTCTAAATTTTGCTGGATACACAAAAGCCTTAATATAAGAAAGGGAAAAGGTCTTCATCTTTGGGTCCTCCTTGGAGACTTGCTCAGTAGTGTGACTCATAAAATCCAACACACATGCAGCTAATTTATCACGAATGGGACATTTTCTACGCTGCGGCTGTCAGCAGTTACTCTGAATTTACAGGGTAAATGAAAACAGAACTTCATCAACTTTGCCTTTACTAAACTGTGCTGCCAGAAGAGATGTCAGGCAATGTTTTGAAGATAACATTAGTGAGCTTTTATGAAATACATTCCTCTTTGCTACTAATTCAAAGAGAATTAATTTGGTATTTGGTATTAAGTGATTCAAAAGGTAACTAGGAAATAATATAAAAATAAGTTTCTTTGCACCAATGGAACCCGAATAGCTTGTACAGAAGAATGGCACACACGTGATTTCAATGCATTTCTTTCACTATTCCTCTTTAGAGTAACTGCTAGGTTTTAATAGGGCACAGGCAACAAGAGAAGGGCACTAAATACCATGTTCATTTAAACCACCTGAAGTGTCTGACATGATAGTAAAATCAACTATGGAAATGCTATAGTGGGTTGTTGGTGGGTTTTTTTTGCAAAACTAGGACTAAGAAAATGCTTTGGGTTTTCTTATTTGTCATTCAGAAGATATGATATTGTAAAACTATGAATCCAACTTTAGGAGTGATCTCTTAATTAAGAAGCAAAATTCTAGTGAGTAATCAGGAGAAAAAAGGAAGACTGGTAGGGTAAGCCCCCCTCATCTTTGTTTTTCTGCCTTCCAATTTCAATAATGGGACATTTCACCAGGAAGAGGCAGGAAAAAGAAATGTAAATGTGATGGCTGTCACTCTACACATACATATATCAGCACGATGGAGTAAACTGTGCTCAAGGCAAAGTGAAGATTGTAATCCAAGTCAACTCTACAGAATTCTGCTGGGTAGATTACCAGGAAAGAAAGAAAGTATTGAAAAATAAATAAAATAAAAATCTGTAATCCATTTTGAGTATCATTGCCCCTTACAGAGTTTACTGTATTATAAGTATTTATACACATTTTCTAATAATGAGGTAAAAAAGAATGTAGATAATCAACAATCACAAACTCATTTTTTCCAAACAGATGAACAACCCCCTTACCTCCTTTTCTTTTACATCATAAGCTGCCACAAAAAAATATTAGTTTCAGTTTGCTAACCTTTCTGGGATTTCAGATCCACTTTTCTTAATTGACTGACATAAACATCTATTGCCCCATGATGTGTAGAAGCTTTTAGACTTCCATCTGATGAATCTAAAAAAAAAAAAAAAGAAAAAGAAAATAAAATAATTTGTGCGTTATTCACTCTTTTTAAATAAAAATTTGCTAGAATCTTTCTTTGTACTCTGAACTAATTTTGCCAATTCCTCTGTGTTTGAGAAGTGTCTTACATTCATTTACTGAATATCAGACTTCTCTTAGAAAAACAAGTTTCTGAACAAAACTTATCTCCCCAGTCCAGAACTGCAGCATATGCTGGTCCCAAGGCCATAGCAGCTGTTGCTGAGCTTGTAGCATCTACAAGGCGTCAACAACACTCCCCTCTTTTTACAAGGATGGATTCATCTTTGTGCAAAGATGAAGCACAAAATCTGAACACTAAGATCTATTTTAGTTTCCAGAAGATTTCATTTGCTCAGACTCTGCACAGGGAGAACTTTACCCAGGAAAGCTACCCCATGCAAACAACAAGAAATTGTGCCTTGTAACATCTGTGTAACAACACAGAACTGCGTTATCAGCCTTTGTAAAGGCTGATTCACTACATCTGAATTTTAAACAAATGTTTGAGATTAATATGTATATTAAAGTGCAATAGTTAAGTGCAGCATTTGTTCTTTGACCTGGAATAGAGATACTCACTTTTTCTTCTATATCTTATTAGCTGAAATTTATGTTAACAAAGGTCTCTGAAGAAACCTTTTTACAAATAGAAAGCCTTTAAGAAGCCTTAACTGTAGACGTGATAGGTAGTCTTTAATTACTTACAATGTATTCCAGTTTTAAATACACAAATTTCCACAATATTACAGTGAAGTCCTAAAGAGCTAACTTTTGAACTACTGAACAGATGTGTAGCTGATGAAAGTTGCAAAAAAATTATGAAATAACTCTAGACAAGCATAAAAAAATTTACATATGTACGTGAACAAAAAGCAGTCAGTGAAATATCTTTTTAGATCCACTCCTAGAAATGAAAGTATTGGCAAGAAATCTTGAAATACTGATAGAGACTGTTTTTCTTAGTTTCTGGATGTGCATAGAAAAAGAAACACAGTCAAACTTTCAGAACTAGCTAAAATAAAATGAAACTTGAACAAAACTTCCTATTTTAAAATGTAAAAACACTGAGAGAATTAAGTTGATTAATTGTAACAAGGATGTCTAGCATTACTGCCTCAAGCTTGCCATACAGTTTTAGCTCTAAGTACACTCATCTGGAACTTTTCTGATGCCAGATCTCAAGCACAGATGTGGAAGATCAGTGTATTACATACAAAAGTAAAATCATAGAAAGGGATTATTATCCCACAGCTATAACTGATTTCTTTGGAGGGGAAAGTAATCAAAAAAAAAAAGTAGACAATCCATATTTAGTCAGCTGAGAACCTGAGACTGTCTTTGACTAACAAGAAAACAATAACAACTAGAATTGGATGGGAGTGTTTTTCCCATCTCAGCAGATTGTGTTGGAGAAGTTCTGTTTCAAATCCAAAGGAAAAAAAAAATCAACTCTTTGTTAATGAAATTCATGAACTAGGAAAAAAGTTTTGTGTAAGTCACAACAAAACATTTTATTAATAACTTTTTAAAATGTTTGTAAGTTTGAAAATGAAAGTTGTTGAAACAGAAGAGATTTGTATGAATCCATGTTTTTAATGATTTTTTTTTTTTGTAGTGATAAATCAGCATTTTCATGTAAAAGCTACTTTTGCAGATATTTCAAATCAAATTTAGTAACAGCCAATCACTGAGACTCCACAAAACCTTGACAGAGATTTTGCTGGCAACAGATACAGGAAATATCCAGCCTCTGACTCTTCTGCTTTTTAAACAAAACATGCAATTAGTTCCTTTACCTGCACTATGAAGAAAGGAGAGTCTCCTGTGATAGGACAGCGACCCTGTCCAGGGAGAACAACTGCTAACAGTCTGCACAACACCACCAGCTGATGGCACTTTACAGGGACAAATGTTTATTCAGTGAATCTTTCCTCTTCCCACTCTTCAAATGCAAAAGCAGCTCTTGTGAGATTCTTCACAGTGGAAAGATGCCTTTTGCAAATCTATTAGCCCCACTTCAAGACTGAACAGAGTTTCTTTCTAGATTTTCAATTTTTTTATATATATGTATATGCATAAAAATAATTTCTAATTTCCTGAGAGTGACTGGATTCTGTTTGCAGGCAGCATAAACAGAATGAAGGATGCAAGAAGTGGGCAGTAGGCATAGGTTCACCAAGGCTTTTTTTTACTTGGAAGTAAAAAAAAAAACAAAAACAAAAGCCAAACCAAACCAAAAAACAACTTGAGGGAAAGCAGAACACTGTTTTGGGAGTAAAAATCATCAGATTTTTACTCCCAGAGTACACCACTGAACAGAAATTGCTTATGGCAGAAGAAAATGCAGCAAAGTTTCAAAAACACTGAGAACTTCAGCGACATTAACCAAGCACTAAAGATGACATTACAAACCTGTTTAGCTTTGATCTATGGAAATAACATGAAATATATTTTATGGAAACAACTGAACATGATTTATGGAAAGAATTTTATAAATACAATATTAAATACAAATCCTTAGATACAAATAAGAATGACAAGAGACAAAGTTTATTACTTCTACAAAGACTATTAAAGATACCGTTTAAGTTTTGTGTCTCTGTAACTCTAAATGCGAAGGGGGGAAAAAAAGCCTGGAAAATGGATTAAAAACAGCAAAGACAAGGTTATGTAACAAAAAAGGCCACATTTAAATACATAAATAAATATTTCAACACGAAAAAGTTACCCTACATTAAGTAACACAGTCTGGTAGGGCAAAATACATAACTGAAATAATAATGGAGATGATACATATTTTACAGTTATGACAGAACAAAACTACGGCGATTTATTTTTAAATATACAGCCAGTGTTATCCGAGATAAATGTGAGTAATTACAGGTAAAAACAAGAAAAAAAAAATGCATAGTTTGACTTCACAGTTTGCTAAGGACTGACAACTCAAGGGGAAATACAAGGATGAATTGTTCTACTGGAAAGAGAACAGATGGTCACTCTTGAGCAACTCCAGCTATTTAAGAATTTACTAGTAGAGAAAACAAAAAGAAAAAAAAAACAAACTAAGAAGCAAGATGTCCTTGACACAGTTTTTGTTAAACTCTATGAAAAATAAGTTTTCCACCACAGACACCAGCTATATTAGCCTTTGTAACACAAAAGAGGAATTCTGACTGGTCCCAAATACACAAACGTAGAAGCAGTATGTTTGAACAAAGATAATAATTCTCATTAGATAAATAAAAATGTTACAAAGACTGATATGTGAAGTCAGTAGCGTGCTGAAACTACATTAAAGGGCACATAAATTATGCCCAGAATTCAGTTTTTATGGAATAACCTTAAAAATAATCTTACAGAATGAACAAAAGTAACTTTTTTCCAAAACAGTCCATCTAATCATTTTACTACTACAGCTTGAAGAATAAGACACAAGACCCATGACTGAGAAAGACTATACAATTACAGGTCACTGAAAAGCCCACAAAAATGACAAAACTGAAATATCATTCGCAACATTTTTAGTATCTCTTCTTCCTTCATTTTATAAAGTCAAGTACTGATGAAAGGAAGAAACACAAGTGATCTTTCCTTAATCTAAGCAAAAACATATTTACTTTTCCCAATACCACACAACAACTGACCTTGCTCACATGACAAAACTGATTTCAATAGGAAAGCACAAAATATTTACCATGATTTGGTTAAAGATCGAAGAAAGTATAAGATTCCAACATACGTAAAGCATAAGAAAGATTTAATTCCTACTTAACTGGCTATCTAGTATTGTTTCTTGATAAAGACTGGTCAATTTTCTTATTTTAGTTTATTGTTCTAAAACTGTCAAATGAAAAATACTATGAAAAACTGAAATGTATATATTAAATAGACTAATTAAACATACTACTAAAAAATCACTAGCAGTCCTTATCATACTCACCATCCAGACCTAGCAAAACAAATGACATAGCATAGAAAGCAAAGAAATCTCTCATGTAAATAATTCCTTTGCTAATTGAATTGTCCAGACTACCGTTAAAGGATCTATTTCTACCTTGATTTTGAAGTTATACCCGTTGGTTTTAAAGGCCATGATCTCTTTTGAGTAACTTGTTCTGTTCCAAAAAAATCATTACATGCCTCAATCCAGCATCATAATACAATGTGCCAAGTACAGCTTCACCTTGATAAGCCTCTGACCTACTGCAGATCAAATAGGATCTTCCCCTGTAAACATCTATTCACACAGTCCATACCTATGCATCTTCTTCCACAAACTATAAACTGTGTTAATCCCTGCAAACCAATTAGCTATAGGTCTGTACTATTTTAAATGTTTAAGACACTAATGGGGTATAAGCAATTTCTGAAGAGATACACGTATCTCGTCAGGAACATGACTGTCAATAATATGAAATCCCCACAAAACTTCCTGTGGAAGTTTCAATAAATTATGTAAAACTGCTAATCTGTGAGCCTCGAGCTCCAGGCCAGTAACTAGCAGTAAACTCCAGTGTTAATACTGGGTCCAGTCCTGTTTAACATCTTCATTAATGATCTGGATGATGGAACAGAGTGTACCCTCACCAATTTGTTGATGACACAAAACTAGGACAAGTGGCTGATACACCAAAAGGTTATGCTGTCATCCAGAGCGAACTGGACAGGCTGGAGAAATGGGCTGGCAGGAACCTCATGAAGTTCAACAAGGAGAAGTGCAAAGTCCTGTACAGGAACAACCCCAGGCATCAGTACATGCTGGAAGCCACCCAGCTGGAAAACAGTGTGGCAGAAAAGGACCCGGGGGTCCTGGTGGACACCAAGTTGAACGTGAGGCAGCAACGTGCCTGTGCCACAAAGGCGGCAAATGGTATGTGGGCTGCATTAGACAAATCATTGTCACCAGGTAAAGGAAGGTGATCTTTCCCCTCTATTCAGCACTGGTGAGGCCACACCTGGAGTACTGCATC